AAACAAGGACCAGCATGACTTATTCGAGTATAAAAATCCGTGCCGTTAGGCCGTATATCATTAAAAAAAAGCGAAGAAAACAGTGTTCAAAGTCCACAAGGATATCCATGAGTATAGCCGTCTTTACCGTAAATCCATAAATCATTGAAAAAAAAAACGTGTAAGATAAACAAACATTAACTCATGTACACAATCATACAGCAGTAGACGAGTTTGCTCAAGTTCAGAAAAGGGTGCACACGAGTATAAGTATTCGTAACCTAAAGCATTACCTCCATTACACATCGGCTCAGCCAAATGTGTAAAGGAAATTCGTCCTCTTATTGGAGGAATTAAGCGAAAAATTTAAAATTCGGGCTACCAAATATGTAAAAATATTTTTTTTTATAATAAGTCGACGGGATTTTTTCGGTCTCTATAATCAAACCTGCCCTTGCTCCTTCGATCTCCTCTTTCGTTTTCAAACTGCTTCCCCAAACCCTACTGTTCGGTGCTACTAATAGGATCTGGTAAGTTGTGCATTGTGAGTGATAAACAAGTCACTAGGCTCCTGAAAAACAACAATCCTAACGTGAACATATCACTCGCAACGTTGTAAGTGTTTTTTTCCTATTCCGATAAGGTTTCATTTAACCATCTTAAATTTGCCTGTAGGTTTAAATCACTAGTCACATCAAACTAGTCGCTAAGTTCTTACAAGAAATATATTTGTCTGAGTCGGGGATTGCAAAAGTTTGGAAAACACTACTCACCTAGTTGCTCGAACTCCGGGTTGGATACATCGCCATAGAGGGCTACAAGTTCCTCTACTTCCGAGGTGTTTGTACGCACGTATGATTGATCGGATGCTACCGCTCCGGCTGGATCTGTGTTGGACACTTCGCTAGAGAGAGTTGCGAATCCGCTGTCGAATCTGCTGTCACCAAAAACCGTGGAGCAGCTAAGACTTTCCAGTGAAGCCCACTGCGTGCACACGACTGGCGAGAAACTGGGTTCGAAGGGCCAAAAAACCACCGGCCTGCCCATCGGATTGTTAAATAGAATGCCGAGAAGAGATCTCCTGAGGTCATAGTT